TATTCTTTTCTAAATGCGTGTGATTCATAGATAATAATGCCCCAAAGGCCAACTTCATAAACTAAATTTAATAAATATAATCTGTATATTGGGTCGCATGAACCACATCTGTTAATATGAGTTGAATAAAATAAATAAATTAACGTTAAATATGAAAGTTAATTAATAAGAGTAGATTCTAATATTCTATCTTGAATCTTAATGATCTGAGATACGATAGAATTTTCGAAATAATAATAATAACCATCAAAACACGAGAGCCACATAGACCACCGGTGTATATCATAGAGTATTCAATCGGGATATTTGATACAAGATCTAGCGGAAAAGGACTCAGGTATACTTATTTTTTGGGTTTTAGAAATATAAGATGATCTGAGCTTGACTACACAAACGCCATACATTTTTTTGGGTGCTGAGCCAGTGTTTAGAAGGGCCGCACGATATTTTAAGACTGTTTCCTGCATAGTCGCTCCTGAACTATTAAAATGCCAGAAATCAATAACCCGGATACACAAGTCACAGTCTGATAATTTTCTACTAGATAGTACAAACAATCTACCGTCCATCTGTCTGTCTGGTCCCGTTGGTCTGGAGCACAACTACTGTGGATAAGTATATATGTGCTGCACCAATAACATACACACCTTTAGGCATCTAAACTAGACGTACCATTTTTTTTTTTTTTTTGTGTCAGAAACGACATTTGTTTAACAACTGGCCTCTACGAACTCATCTCGTATGATAGCCTCACCGAAATTTTCTTTCCGAAGATCCTGAACGATTTTGAAGAGCAAACTCTAATTCATAGCTATTAATGTTTTTCTCAGAAAGCGCGGGTCCGGCCCTGTTTTCACGAGTGAACTCTTATGACACATATTTTCAGTAGATCTAGAGTTCTATTAAAAGAAACCCAAATGAAAATCTTTGAACTTCGTAATTACCTTTCTGCTCTTTCTATTTATTTTTATAACGTGTTTATCAAAAAATATAATTGATTTTTATCTCGTAGCCGCGCCAAAAACAGACCAATGAAAAATGCAAGCTACGTAAAATAAAAAAATAGAGAAATCACTACACACCTATAAAAGAATCACGGTAAGTAACAAGAAAAGATAATTTTTAATTCATTGATGGTAACGGCGAATTCAAACGTTCTATCTCAAGAAAGAGTTAAATTAAAGATGAATCTAAAGACAACTCGAATTCATTCCAAATTATGTTCATTTGACCAAGATTTAGTTTGGGATATAGTGCTTTTCAATGTTCTTACTGAGTGTAAAGGAGCGCAAAAAGAAGTAATATTGACCAGATATTTTTCCTACATTATTTAAACTAAAAAAATTAATACAATATCATCCTTATTTTGTCTACTGCACATAGTTCGTGGGTTAATGCACAAATTATCATTAAATTATGTTTTAGTCTGTATTCTGTTCAACAGATTCCTCTGCGTCTCTCGAGATACTTTCACAATTTGAAACGACGTCCGTCACGTGCTCTAAATTTTGATAATCAAGTGGATATTTTTTATCCTTTCATTGGTGGATATTCAATTCAATGAATTATTCCGTTTGTGTATGTGAGGATATTAGTTAAAAAATAGTGCATTAAAATCCTCTTGTCCCGACAAATACGAAGGAATGATAAAAGTTGTTTCATATTAAAAAAAACTTGTTTGGTTCATCCAGTTCTTACTTTTCACAATTCCAGTAATGCCCCTCGGTTGCGGGATGCCCGAGCGTGCCATTTTGGAGCACGTAGCAACCGAGCACGTGAGGATGTTTAACCTGGAGGTTGACGGAAGATACGAAGTCCAGGTTCTTCATTTCAGGCAGCTCCTAATCAGGATGCTGCATGCTCAAAAGGTATGGAAGAAATAATCCATTATATCTAAAATTTATGTTGAAAGCAACATTTGAACGTGAGCTTCGACATTGAAGAAATAGCATAATTATTACAATTTGCATTTGTTTATTCCGTTCTTTCAATGTGTTAATTTTCATATTACGGATCCAAAATTGCTGTACATTAATACTACTTTTTAAATTATTTTCAAGAGGAGAATCACTCCTGCTGATTTGGAGCATCAGTTTTTAAACTGCGGTCTTCGTGAAATGAATGAAATGAAAACCACAGTTTGGAAAATGTAGTTTCGCCTTCAGATGTTGGATTACAGGTGAGTTTTGTTGGCATTCAGAAGCATTGCATTACAGGTGAGCGGCCCGGGCGCACGCCCACCTTATTCCGGAGGACAGAATGCGGCGGCTGGACGCTCAGGGTGAGCCAACGAGACAGCACAGAACGCGGAATCATTTCTTCCCAGCGAGTGGTCCCTCTTCCGTGCTATAAGAATTCTGAAACCTCTGCGGTCTCTCGAGATACGAGATTGGAAATTTTTTTATCCTTTTATTGGTGGATATTAAATTCAATGAATTATCCCGTTTGTGCATGTGAGGACATTAATTCAAAAAATAGTGCATTAAAATCCACTTTTCCCAACAAATTCAAAAGGAATGATGAAAATTGATTCATATTAAAAACAACTTATTTGGTTCATCCAGTTCTTAGTTTTCACAATAATTCCAGGAATGCCCCTCGGCTGAGGGATGCCCGAGCGTGCCATCTTTGGGGCACGTAGCAACCGAGCACGTGAGGATGTTGAATCTGGAGGCTGACGGAAGATACGCTTTCCAGGTTCTTCATTTCAGGCAGCTCCTGATAAGGATGCTGCATGCGCAAAAGGTATGGAAGAAATATTTTGTTATCTCTGAAATTTACATTGAAAGAAGCATTTAAACGTGTACGCTCTGGGTGAGTCAAAGACTTCCCAGCGACTGCTGCCTCGTCATTGCTACAGTAAGTTTAATACTTTGGGTCTCTCACGATAATTTTCTAACTGTTCTAAGTGGATACGAAGTTCATCTCCTATTGTAAATTTAATTTATCAATTGGAAACTTCATTATCCATTGAATTGATACCACGATTATATATGCGAGGAGGCTATTAGTCGTAAAAATGTGCAATTAAATTCACTTGTGTTTGCAACCAAGAAAGTAATCATTAAAATTCTGTGCTTACATTCGAAACGAATTGTAAGCGAAGGGGGGGGGGGCGAGCGGCGTCGCCGACGTGAGGGTGGGGAAGGCCCTGCGGTAGGAGGTTAGCCAGGGCTCTTAAGCGAGGAACGAGGTAAGTTCGCAAGCGAACGCATTGAAGGGACAGAATAGGATTTGCAAAGCTGCACTAATTCTTTGCAAATAGACAAAATAAAAAAATATTTCAACAGACTTTATACAATTTTCATGTTATGTTTTTTATAATTTTAATGTGATGAATATAGAGTGGAAAATTTGAAACGATGGCTTCATTCATGGAATTACAATGTTTCCTTAATATAGTAGCTTTTGTCCCATTGCAGTGGCCTTTAACGCTAATGGAATCAGTTCTATAAGATCTACGCGCAAGTTAATGTGGGGGCGGGGATTTAAATTGGGTACGAAACCCACGAAACTAGGTTTCGCACGCCGCGGTTAGTACATGTTTCGCCGTACGTGAGAATGGCTGGCGGCAGTGCCCGGGTAAATATTCGCACGGTACGGGGTCAATCCTGACGACAGGAGTATCCGGCAGACGCGACGGTTAGAATTCCTGATAATTAGCAAATTAAGTCAATGAAAAGCGCGCATTGCAAAATGCCTTCTAATGCACGCTATAAACTACACTTCAAACCTTTCCAGGAGAATGTTAATACATTTCCTCTGAAAACGAGTAAATATTTAAAAGTTACTGGTTCTCATCAATTGCTAATGTTTACTAGTCCTTATTCAGTCTTACCATTTTCGAGGATTGTAATGTAGTAAACATATACTCGGACAATATTTGAACAAAGGTGTATTCAAACAAAAATCTCAAACGCTTTTGAACCTGATCCAAGTGTGAACCTCATTTATGTACAGTCATAATAGATGTTAAAAATGTTACCTTAAACACTAATTTTATCGTTTCAACATGCACGACAGGCATTACCTCGTGCGAATGTTCAAGGCCTTACCGCGACAGGACCGGCTGTTAGAGGTCATGGACGCCTTGGATTACGACCTACCAACCTTCATGGTCCAGCTGTCCTCTGAGCCGCCCAGAGTTGCAGAAATTGAAACGATTCTCCGGCAGTTGTTCGGGCTCCTCAGAACACTGGAGGTAATTACTGCGCCATAATCCCCATGAACATGAATATTCGGTTCTCGTAATTGTAAAGTTGAAATGTGAGTAATTCTGTAGAAGTGTAAATCCTACCGCAGTACGAAAATGTTTACTAAAAATGATTCTTTTTTAAGAGAATGGAATTGGTTTGAGAGTTTCCGAAAAAAAGCCATTTTCAGATTATTTCCACAGAAATTTTAAACCTGATTAGAATCTCCTAAAGCACATGCATATGAATAATAGTATACAAGAGATAAATATTAAGATGACAATGAAAAAGTTTTTGAAATAAAAAATACATCAAAAAGGCTTTTTATGTCCCGTACGCAGTGTTCATCCGCTAAAAAATTGAAAATCTTGTTTTCATTTTAGCCCCATTTCTTTCGTAGTTATGTCATCACATTTCTCGAACTTGTTCTTGGCATATCTTAAACAATTAAGAAAAATCCTTAATAATTAAGTATGAAAGGGTTTAAAACTATTCAAACTCTTGCAATTTTCGAAAATTCAGGGTAATTCTTATAATCCATCTTCGTAGTTTTGCATACCAATCTTACACGAAGTCGGAAGAACACAATTTAAGCCATTTGAGAAAAATTCTCAATTCTCCAAATGTTCTTTGTTGAGCCCCAAAATAAGAGTTTTTTAAAAATTAACGGAATCGAGTCTTGCCAAATCAATAGGGGAATATAAATTTTGGAAAAATACCACTAATAGTTCACTAGCTATTTTTCACTGACGGGCGTACGAAATGTTTTAACGCTCTTTGCCAGGAGTCCCCGAAAGAGTTGATATTGATATTTAAATTATATTTCGCATAATCCCGCAAATTTCTCGACAGTACATAAATTACTCCAGTTAGTTCAATGCGTAAGAAAAATTGAATTAATTGTGTTAGAGTAGCACAAAGGTATTGTTATAGGTTAAGTAATATTACAGTACAACAATTTATGCTTTAACACTTCACCCATAACTTTGGAATGTCCAGACCAATCCACATGAAGCGCCTACGTTGTTAAGCTGCAATTATTTCCACAGCCAGGAACGATTATTTCTTGCTTCTACAAGAGAAACAAACGTCAATAAATTAACATTCGCAACACATGAAAGTGAGCAAGGTTAATTTTATACAACTTGTTTAACTACATCAAAGCAATCTTCCAATTTTGACTTCACCAAATCAGTTAGCAAACATTTAAGTTAAAAGTATGTAAATTAAACATCCGGAGACTGAATTAAACATACGGAAAAATACGTACGTGTTCAAAACAATTGTTTTAAGTACTAAAGAAACGTTAACACGTTAATATGCGAGTCTAATGGCGTTTCCAAGTGTTAAAATGCTCGTTTCTTGTAATGGCTAGCACAAGATTTCACTTACGAGTAACGCCTCGCCAGCCAACATTTCATTAACAAAAGTTTCATCCAGCCAAAACACGAATTGAATCATTAGAAAGCTGATCCCGAGTTAACGGTTCACTTTAGTCTAGGTTTTGCCGATTTCTGCGCCTTGATGTGATCTGTTTTTCCATTCTGTGCGAAGGAATGTTCAGACAAATCGTTTATATTTTGAAGAATATTCACATAAAATGCGTTCAATAGCCAAAAGAATGTTTTATGATAACGCGAAAGACGAAGGCCCTAGCCTCGTCCACAAGTTGGCGATGTGAAGCTCTCAATTCCGGGACACCGCCACCTTCCGATTTACCTCTAAAACTAGTGTTAAAATTTACCACGTGAATGATGAATCATTTCTATAGTTCACAAGAATCAGTAGTGAACGATACACAGTAGCATTAAGGAGGTTGTGCCAGCGACGGCCGTCAAGACTGAGGTGCACAGTAATCCCAGGATTAATTCTTTAGGACAAAACGCAACCTGGAAAAAATAGTAAATTCCATTCTAAAAAACCATCAAGAACACTACGGTACAGAAACTAGAGCAGATGTAACAAAATAAAAGCCGATTTACATTAAACATTTTAAAACACTTAAAAGAATTAAGACCCATGAGACTCGGGAACTTCAATCTTGAATCTTCTTTGCTACGCACTTCTGCATTTTGGTTCTAGTTTTGGTACCTCCGAAACTGTTTTACAGAAAGTCTTAGACCCTTCGCTGTCAGATTAGAGAAACAATACGTGGCCTTGATTAGCGAATGCCTTTGCTTCAGTCCGAAAACCCTCAACAACGGGCTGTCCTTCGCGAGAATCTGACATCTTTTACTCGTCGATGCCCCGAATTTTTTAACAGCATAAAAAGTTATTGTTACTTACAGGAAATGCTGACCCGAGGGCTCCCACAGGAAAGAAGTCTGATGCACGCGCGGTTAAGTGATCTGCAGAATGCACGAGTCGCAGCGTGTTGAAGGAATTCAGGTTTCTGGCTGCCTCGGATTTTGCGCACACAAATCCATTTCTCACAGATTTATGATCACAATTATACTGAACCATTTGATAATAGATTAAGTGAAGACCTGAAGCAAATAACTGACATTTACAAAGTCGTGTTGAACTTTAAATTCATGATGCGTATACCGCACGCATAACTCACGTAAGTTTCTGCCTTACTATTCCCATTCCAAATCATGTAAAATGCAGACTGATAACATCTAGGTAGTGTCGCCTCAGTTGAGCAATAAAATGTGACCAGCCGCTGTACTGTTCGCGCGTTCAGTTCCAACGGAGACGCACACTAAAACACCTCCCTTGACGGAGGTTCGCAGCAGAAAAGACCCGACTTCCAGCCTCGCGTCGTGGAATCTCGAATTACTCATTATCGATTCCTGCAATGAGCGTTGAGATCAGACGCACTTCCGCAGTAGCGTTGCTGTCGCGCTCAATTATGCCCAGAGCGTGCAATGCAGTTGTATACCGCCCCTTGCATATTCCTTTACTTCTCTCGGGCCCTTGAAGAACCTTTTTGGCGAAGGAATTATTGTTATTTTTGCTTTTCATATGTTATTCATAATATTTTATTGGTCTCGTAGTATTTTTGTTTTACTACTGTTGAGTAATTTACAACCATTTTGCAAATTGTTGTATATCTTAATTCATGAATATTGTTAATTTTGATTATAGATTGTAAATGAATGCATTGAATAAAATGTCATTATTATAATTCTTTTACTGATTAATAAAATACCTAAAATCACTAATTATTTAAATGATTTAGATTATCAGTATTTTGGGGGATTGTGGTCATCATTATTCTAATGGGCACAGTTATCAAAATTATAATTACGAAAATTGGCGAATATGAGACTATACACGGCGTAAGTTCCATAGGAACTGACAGTGCGATGTCCGGGGGCCTTGAGGGTTCGCAAATGCAAAACGATATAATAATTATTTAAAACTGTCTCTAACAAAATCGTAGAAGAAATCAATGAAGCGTCGATTTTTTACTTTTTCGCAATTACTTCGCAAGAAAACAAATTTATCCTACGCTGGCGAATTTTAGATTGAACAACTCTTATTGCCGAGATCTGGTAAAGAAAAAAGGATTAATTCTGTTGCTCTATGTAGCAAATTATTTCCTCTAACACGTGCTGTAGCCAGAATCTATGTTTTGAGAGTCTTCGATATTGAAAAATCGATTACACCAAACGTCGCTCGGTCTGACGGTTTGTCAGGCTGTCGGTCCGTCCTTCCTTTTCAGCCCTTGTAGATTTATAGTTTTTTGTTCTAAAAGATTGTATCATATACTTTCTTTCTAATAACTTAATTTCGTTGTTTAAACAACATATTGAAAATAGACAACATTAGCGGCCCTGTCAAAAAAGGTATTGAAGGGCTAAGCTCACAAAAATATTTTTTTTGTAAAACTCTCGTTTTCTCAAACTCGAAAATTAATTAACGGGATTACAAATAAATGTTATGTAAAATCTTCAAAAAGGTTCTATTATTTTTCACGTACATTAAAAGCATTTTAATGAAATCAAGCGAAGAAGTTTCCGACAATTCGTATGTACGCTCCATTCCGTCTAGCTGTATCCGTTTTCGCATCGCCGTTGAGGTAGGATACAAGGCGAGTTTTTTACATGGTATCACCAATAGGCCTAACGCATATGGATTTTTATAATAAAAATGTTATTAAATATTAAAAATGTATGTTTCGTTCTCATCTTCATGAATGTCATATATTTATATTTCATTTTTAGGTTCTAGGAAGTCTGCATCTTCGTTATCATCTTCATCATCTTTGCTCATATTTGTTTCTGAAATTTCAATGGAATTAACATCATCATTGTCAACAGAAAAGGTATCGACAGAATCAACAGCAGAAGCTTCAGACATTACATTAAAACATCCTTGACAGTGGCCGCATATAATGGAGCAAGATAAACAACTTTTTCTGCATCCACAATTGGCACCGCATTCTTGTGTACAATTACAAAATATAGTATTAAAAATACTGACGGGTGCAGGTAGTCACAATGATTGAATAGGCTACAAAACATTGTTGCTGACCAACCCCGCTGTTGTGTATCTATGTCTCTTCCCAGCCATGTTTGGATCTGCTAATACACACGAACAAGTTTTGTTGAGCTGTTGCAATGGGAGGTTGAAGCGATGGTAATTTTACAGCATTATTGAATCTTGTCAACTTCGCAAAACGTAAATAGCGGAAATTTTCAAGAGATGTTTCCGTCGTAGGATCTCCATATATCGCCAAAATGATCTTCATCCATTCTCAAATATAAGTTGTTGAGAATGATTTTCTTCTTGAAACATTTCTGCGGCTTCCATTTTGTAATTAGCTACTAATATGCATTAATAATATTAATATTCATGAAAAATTAAAACTAATAAATAAAAAATATTTTTAGACAGTCAACAGAAATCAACAATTGAGCAAGGTCTACAACAAAGACACATTTTCCCCTTTCGTAAAGTCAAAGTCCTACTCTTTTCTCAGGACGCATGATTACTAGTAGTCAGAGTTGCGGCAGATAAGGAAGGTAATAAGAGAATGTAGGGGTCGATGCAGCTCTATAAGTGAACAAAGAACCAGAGAAACACTTTATTCCTGATTAATTTAAATTATTTTTATTAAAATTTATGCATTGCATGTACATATAGATAGAGGAAACATACTTATTGAAAGGTCTTATTATCAATATAGAGAAATTCATAATTTCAAAAATATTCAAAAATAGTATTCAAACATTTACATTTGTTCGTAAATATGCTATATTTCATTATGAAATCATCTGCATTTGGAACAACGGTGGGGAGCGTTTGCGTTACCAACTTTAATTAATTTCTACGTACCCTGACATCTTACGAATATCACAATATATTTGATTGAAATTAACAAACCCACGCTACTCATTTCTGTTTACTCATTGCATTTTATAGAAATTAACTTTACTCTCGTTACTTATAAAGACGCTCAACAAAATAACTGTGGCCATCGAACATTGGCTATTAAATATGATATGACTGCTGTTGCTCAGGTAAAGATATTACAGTTTTCTTGTCACAACGAGACAACAAACACTTTTTAATTTTATTACATTCTCGTGTACGTACCTACACGGAATAATATTTGCATTCGTAATATAGAGAAATTTATATAATGCTGTGGAAAATCGTTTACGAGAGTTCGACGGAAAGACACGTTTTTGGGATCTGCTGATACCGAAAAAGTGTTGTTTTTTCACAATGTCCGATCATCCGTCCATCTGTCTGTCTGTCCGTTCGTCTGGTACACGTGAACAACACTAGCATCTAAACTAGACGGACAATTTTTTTTCAAAATGAATAAACTCCAGTCGATCTAGCCTCAATCGAAGATCTGCGATTTTGAAAAATATTCATTAATTTTTGGGTGCACTTCTCAAGAATCTTATGAAACATTTTAAAAGTTTTCCCAAAAATGGCTTCAAACTTCTTTTATTTTTTTTTTTGAAATGTTAGGCAAGAATAGAATGAACTACACTAATAAAGATGGCAGGTACTATTTTTATTCTTAATTCTTAATTTTCGAAATTTGGAAAAATTTGACAAGATTTTGGTGTCTTGCTACAAAATGAAAGAAATACATTTTTCCTACATATAAAATTTCATCTCCATAATTAGTTCTTTAATTAAGGTAATATGCATCTCTAAAAATAAATTAGAAGTTTTCGTTGTGTATTAAGTGAAATGTGTGCAATATTGTGACGTCGGTGGCCCGTTAGTCAGAGTGCTCGCTTTCCACGGCGCAATCCCGGATTTGATTGCCGGTCAAGGCAAAAATGCACTGTGCGCTTTCCTTGCAATGTCCCAGAATCTGTTGTTAGGTGCCGGGGAGAAAAATCGCTTCTCAGGTTGAGAAGACCAGGATACTGCGTAGGGATGATTGCTGACCCATGGCCGTAAGGCCGGGACGCCGCTGCTAGGCCTTAGCTCATAAAGAGATGAGCTCGAAAAGCTTCAAAATATTTCTTTAAAATTTTGATAGGAATAGTGCTAAGTGCACTTTATAAGATGACATGAACCATATTCTGCTCTATTCTTTCTTTTTTTTTTCAAAAATTAAAAACACATTTTTTTACTTGTATCTCAGGTCGTTAATATTTACGTTAGCGGCGATTTGTGCACAATATTGCATTTATGAGTGCTTATACTTCAAACAATATGTTATATAGTTTCTAAAACTATCAACAGTTTATTGTGAATATGAACACAAATTTTCACATTTTCAGATACGCGCAAATACCTTTTTCTCATACACTTTTTTCATTTACTTTTTTACGGTGCTAATTGCACTGTTTACGATGACAAAAAATATTTTTTTCTGTATTTTGCACAAAAATTAAATTTCTAAAGTATCTTTCACGCCATATTAAATGTCCATATTAAAATATGCGCATTTCCTTCGTTTTATAAACATTATTGCATTTGTGAGTATAAAGGCTGCAAACAACGCCCAATGAAGTTTTTCGAAAACTCAAAATGGCTGTGTGAAAAACAGCTTCAAATTTTGCATTTATAGTAACACTTAAACGACATTTTTTTACACCGACTTCAAATTTTTTATTGATATTTTCCATATTGGCCCATGTTTTTCTTTTATATAATAGTCTTAAAAGTAATATTTCGGTTCTAAAATTAGGAAAGCGAAAAATTGAGAAATTTTCAAAAATCGTTGTTTGGGCGGTGATAGATGGTTGCTAGTAAGAGGAGAGGGCAAGACCGAAAAACAAGTCCCGACAAAAGAAATTATAAGACTAAGTAGAGTTCGACTGTGCCATTCCATAGCAACACTAGTTAATTCTGAAAATTAGAAGTCGGAGCCGATAAATTCACTGCAACATGCCTAGTCATGTGTATCTGTTCAGTGGAACCTGTGAGTGCACTTCAAAACAAGATTTTCATAGTAACACATTTCCATTTAGACATCTCAATAGCACTATAATTAGAGTTAAAGTTGTCAATAGTTCTGTTCCCCAGAATTTGAAATTGCATTAAAAATGGACTGCATAAAAATTTTATTGATTTTAATCTTTAACTCATCTTTCAACTATTTATAGTTAAAATTACAGGAATGGATTCTGGAACTCAAGAACACGTGCGCAGATGATCTTCTCCCCCCATGGCACAGACAGTTCTTACTATTTTGTAGACGAAATAAAAATAGATCTAAATCTAAATTAAAATCTATCAGGTAAACACTACATGTTGTGTCATTTTTGGACCAGCTCTATCTTCTCTTCACGTTCCATCGTGGATGTATAAAGGTACTAATTCACACAATGATTATTGCTGCTCGCAACCAAATACGTCATTCATCGCAAAAATTAAAAATAAACGTGTTTTTAACTGGAAAATTAAATTTTGGCATTTCTGAAACATCTGTTATTTCACGAAAGTTAAAAGATTCTCTCTTTTCCCTTTTCCTAAATTTCAATAACTATAAATCCGTATACAACATGGATTATCTCTTATTACATATTTTAGATATTTTCCCTTACAAATTGTTATAATGAAATTCACAATAATAATTTTTGCTTAGATAAAAAAGGTAGTTATGCAACTTGCTTATCAAATTCATGGCGGGAACTATGGATCTGATATAGCATTGCTATTTCTCGAAAATGCTGTGGAACAAACCTCAGTTCAAAGATCCGTTTGTGCAGACTGGAATGCAGAGAATCTGGATGACCACTTAGTAGAAAACAACACAGGACAGGTATGCTAACTTCCACTTCGCGATGTCAGCTAACTTTATTTTAATAGAAACGAATATGTTCCTGACTTCTTTACGCATTTATTTTCCAGATCTTAGGATGGGGTGTAACAGAAAATGACACTCACAGCCAGTCACTAAGAATGACAACATTGATGGTAAGAGGTCCGGAACACTGCATTGAAATGCATCCAAGAGACATCAAAAATTATGTGACGTACACATCTTTCTGTGCAGGTAACAACAATGGTAAATAAAAAATTGTACTTATTATTAGGTCTCGAATATAAATTATGATTAATTACTATATCAATACAATACATACCACAGTACAAAACCTAGGTATACTTATTTACAACGTTTCAAATGAATTTATTTAAACCTTGGTCAATGACCCCATCGCGTTGAGGTTTTTCGTTCAGTTTCCGTAATTCTTTGGGCAAATGCCCGTTGATTTCCTTCTGAACATAAATGTACATTTTCTGTTAGTGAACGATTTGTAAGGCGCAATGGATTTGTTATTCAAATAATCGTTTTTTGTGGGATAGTTATTCAAATATTCGTAAAAATTCTCTTCAACCAGTAAGTCAATTCCTTCGCTACTGACCACATGTATTGTTAACCCAACTTGTCAATGTGTTAGACTTCCGCGATCTCAAGAGAACGTGCTCAGAATGCACTTATCGCCGTAGTACATCATACAGAAGATTCAACTTTTTTATCTGAAAATAAATGAATATAAAAATACAGTGAAATTTCTCAAGCAGTGCACTGTACCGATATATTTATATAGCAAACTTTACTTAAAACTTAAAGAGTATTTCAACCATCATTA